TTCACGATATCCAAGTTAGTGCTCCTACAGCCAATTTTAAAGGCATGTGCATGTTCAGTGGCTGATGGACAAATTAGCATCATAGAACAGCACTATTTTGCCAAAGGTAGGTTCCAGTTGTTATCCACTCCGATTTTATGAACTCCATCTTCTGACTAAGCAAGACTTCGTAACATTGGGATACCTATTCATGGTACGGATGTTTGTGAAATAAGACACTGCAGGGCAGCTGCTACTGCTTCAGGTGAGTTATTCGCGCAACTCTGTCAATTTTCTGGACACTCGACATACAGTTAGAATAAGGAATTTAACTAAATGGGGTGCTTAGGTGAATAGCCCACTTATTATCCCTCCGTGCTCCCACCAACTTGAAATTCAAATAACACCACAGATTATACGTGCTCTTCGAATAACATCCTTGTTTGCCATAGAGGTGAGGATATTACTAAACACGGTGTATCCTGGATGGACTTCCGAATTGGTACTACTTATCGCATTTATCACTGACGTTGTCTACATCGGTAATGCTTGTACTTGAGCCCTGAATTGGGCTGCAGCATAGTGGGCAATGAGTAAGTCGTCACAGGTGGTGACAATGGTGCTGTAGCAGCCTTTTCAGTGGAGGCAATCGCCTACACTGTAGCTGCACCAAATCCGTAATCTGGGCCACAGCCTGCTATTTGTCCTTCTCCATTGATAAACGCTGTCTTCCGGCTACCGAGTACACCCCATAGAACGCGATAAAACCATGTGTATCATGCAGCGATAGAGCCCACTCCATTCAAGAAGATATGAGACAACATCGGTTAGCCCAATGTCAGAAGAATTAACATCCACCAACTCTCAATGGCTCAATTTAGAGCCACTTTTACTCTGACCGTTCGCAGCAAACCTTTCGACAAGTAAAGACACAAGGTATATTAAGATACTTACTTTTAAACGCACCAGGAATTAGGACTAACAAGGACTGAAGTGTAAACGCAAAAGAATACGAAATAAGGAACATTATGGAGCTGTATTTAAAGAGCTGACAACAAATACCATATTTAAGTCACCAAGTGTCTGCATTGGGGTACAAACAAGAGTAAAGTAAAAAAGGGTGAAAAATGAACTTGATCACGAAAATTGGACCAGGGTGACAATATTAGGCGAAAGAGGAATGTGAAGTCGTCGAATAGGACCTCAGTGTGTTGGCGAGACGTAGTAATTGAAACACGGTCTGTGAAGTGAGAGCTAACATGGCTGGCAATAGGCGCACCGGCGCGCAGCGAAGGCGACCACAGCTCCACGGACACGTCAATTGCCGCTGATTTTGCTCCTTCGATATGCCTCTATGACCGCACAATTGCCATGTCCACTGTGCTGCTATACGCTACGTCACCAGAGAGTGCTTTTCCATTGCATTCACTTGACTCTTACCGATGTTAGTGATTTTATTCTAATGAAAGTGACTTGCACGCCTTTCAGGTGGTTCTCTAGCAAGTGGGACGATATTGGTTGCTACACCTTGCGGCAGAGTACATCTTTTACTGCGACCTGCCAAAGGACCGTAATTATGCGTCCTATGTTTAGCAATGAGGTCACTGCATGTTTACCTGATCGGCGCCTTTGTCGATATCAAGTAGCTTGTGTACTTGATAAAAGAAGTCACACATTCTATTTAGTTAGCAGTGACTATACAAAAAGTGTGCAAAAAGAGAAGGACAAGTATGCTAAAATGTTGGTGTTATTTGTACCAATGCGATTAAGTATATTGAATGGCATTCCCTGCTACTGCGCATCTACTCCCCGCTCGCAAGCGTCAAGCCACACCCACTTAACACAACAACCAATAGTGCGCCCACAAGCGAACGTTCTGCCATAGTGTCACCTCGTATGTTTCATGCTCCTCAACCTGCTTTGGAGGTTTTGAATTCTAGTTGCTGAGATTGAGTTAACGTCACCTAAGCTCGCTCTAAATCAAGGTATGAACGATCTCACTGCATCGCTCACAATGACTTGGCTTTAAATCCTCAACCACCCAATCAGCAGCCAGTGATGGTCCACTTAAAACTCAGATGAGCTCTGCTGAAGTGTGTTTTTGGATGCTGAGTCCGACTCCCTGGATAGGATATATTAGGTCTACCAGCAGTCGGCTCGGCAGTATCTGCTCCATCGTTCACGCTGGCCTTTACTGCGTAAGCTGGAAACGCACACATCCGCCTACCACTTGTCCTTATCTCGCCTACACTCCAGTGCAAATGGTATCAACTCATGGACATTAACGCTAGGCAGTCGGTCGTCTTAAATACTGAGGCATCTCTTGATCAAATCAGCATCAAAGGGGCGTCTTTCTGACCACTGACTCACAGCAATGGTGATGGTAATGATAATGGGGACTTGGCTTAGTCAAGAAATTGAGGTTCTCTAGCTCAAGTGTTTCGAAAAATGCAATGAAGCCACCTATCGATGGACAAATTTGCAGTCAGGAAAGAAGCTTGGATTATGCTGCTTTCCGTTTATTTTTACAGTGTTCAAAAAAAATCTACTTTCCCATCCCATCCTTGTGCATCAACTTATCAGCAAACAGGCGTGTGTTCCAACCATAGAAATTACTTGTCTAAGCGCACAAATGGGAAGAATTAAGGAGTCTACTCTGAGAAAAAATCACGCGCCGATAGTCAAATACGCATATCTAAAGTTGCGGTCGATCTGCG